GTCAAAATAGACGGTCCCCAGTGTCTAACATTCCTGCTTGAGCTCAATGTTTGGAGCATCACCCCAATAATCTAGTTATTTTCATTTAACCAGGATTAGAATTGGCACTTACGTTTTATTCCTGGTGAATATTTGCAGACATGGAGGTCCATCCCTGACACAAATGAAGTCTCGAAGGACTTCCCAGGCATCGTGTTGAACAGTGCCGACGCCATGGTGGAACGTCTAGCTGCATCAAACATGTTCTTCATTGCCAAGAGAAAGCATGCAAACCAAGATGTCTTCTACTTTGCGACCAAAATCCCTCGCGGAATCCCTTTCCTGGTCGAGCTGACCACAGCCATAGGTACTCCGGGAGTGAAGTGTGCAATCAAGACTCCCAACCCTGAAATGTCTCCGCTCTTCTTCGAGGCAGTTGAGGCACTCCTCAAGGCTTGACCAATATTACTTCCCCCTTACTGTTCATTTTTTCCCCCCCTGGGTTTCTTGTGTAAAATTGAAACCAGTTTAGTTACTGAAGGGTAGTGCTTTTCTTCCATTTGTGTTTTCTTCTTCGGATTTAGCTCGTGATTCTTGTAGCACGAAATGCACTACATGTATCTTTCTTCTTGAATCGGCGTTAAAGATTCATTGTAATACATCGAGTGAAAAGACTATCTGAGAAGGGTTTCTTCTGATGAGAGTTTTAGTTGCTGAAATTGAGAACCTAGAGAGATGGCTTGAACCCAGAAATCTTTGATGACAGTTTTGCTACTGATGCATTGGTATATTGTATTTGTTTCCTGGCTAGACACGAATTGCTGTTGTTTCTAGAAAGGCTTAACCAATTTTCTGCATCAGATGGGCATTATTCCAAAGGGGAAAGCACATTTGTTATTCACATTACTAGTATACTAGTGCAACAATTGATATAATAACCTTTGTCTATATCTTCACATTTCCTGATGATTTGCTTGCACTTCATACGATTACTTGAGAAAACCCACAAATTACTACAACCGTTGAGATCTATCTAATCCATTCGATCCAACGGCCGGTACATCCCCATTGCATTACTTAACTTTCATGAAGCCTCTTAACTAACTTCTGCGTGATGAACACAATGCATTCGTTTCACATGACTCTTTAGAAATCTCATCACATATTCATGAACTTGCCAATTAATCAGCCCCTTGGACCCTTGCCATTGATTAACCTTATGATGATCATAAATTCCTTTCCTTTTATTAACCAATGAAAACTTCAAGTCACTGCATTTGATTCCGTTTCCCAGTGGTCTAAACAAAAAGGAAGGTTAACATAACACAAGAACAATGAGGCTTATCATGGCTTCTCTCCTCTTGTTTTCCTGCCTCCATCTACCTCTTGGCAGCAGCAGCAGCCTTGACAGCCATTCTTCTGAAGTCAAAGAAACAGCTCCGTCCCACGCGATAGGACTGTTGAATTTGAGTACTGGTTCAGTAGAGCTCCATCCTTATGGTTGGAGTTACATGCGAGGTGAGAAGAGGTCCTCCTTTGAGTTAACATTGGCTGAATCTTATGTTCATTATGTGATGTGAGACTTGCATTAGAAGGTTTTTGTTTCACTGAATGTTTTTCGTGTTGCAGTTGAGCTGCCATCTTCATACTCGTTGGCTTCCATATCAGTGCAATCGAGCGTAGATGATGTGAGTATTGCACTATAAACTTAAAGAAAAACAAACTGCCTGATTCCCTGTAAGATTCAGTTCATTGGCACTTGGATGATGAGGAAGCTATTAATTTTTATTTGGCATCTAATCTAAACTACTTCTCTTACTATGGTGGAAATTTTTGCAGGATGCTAAGGGAAATAGCAGCAGAAAGAGGGAAAGGCTCCCCCTGATGTGTTTGAGAAATGGAGGCCCTCCTATTCCTGATGTCTCTAGGATTGCTGTGAACGGTCTTGGTAAAACCAATACTATAACCCAAGTCACTAATCAAGTTTATTCCATTGAACCAATTAACCAACTGTCATAATCTTTGTGAATTCTGCTTATGCAGTGCTGAATCAGCCATCTGAAGGAAGAACTTATGTTCAGGATCCTGATGATCAATGTTACCCCCTCAGGCAAAACATGTCATTCATTTTAACATATGATAAGGTAACTATGTAACACGATTGTTATAAATTACCAGTTTTTCTATCTTCAGGCAATCTCTAGACCTCGCATTTCTCTAGTAGTCCCACAAATCTGAAAGTTGCTCTTCTGCAGGTTCCACCAGGGACTTACTATCTTGGATTCTTCAATGGCCTTGGACTTGCAAGAAACCAAGCCAAATCGGTAATCACAACACTAGACCAAAATCTTCCATTTCAATTGCATAACTCAAACCCCATTTTGTTAAATGACTGACTACAAAATTTCAACAATTAGACCAAGAAAGGTCTAGGATTCAGTTTCAGTGCCAATGTTACAGCACACGGCTGCAAACAGGCTTCAGGTTACCGAGGAGAAAGCTGCAACTTTAGAGTGGATCATCTTTCTTCTGCTGCTGCAGCTTCCTGCCATAACTCAACAGAACCAAAGTTCTATTCTTTGAATGTTGTTCAAGTTGCACAACAGTTGAAGTTAGGATTCAAGTCCCCAAATAATAGCACTGGTAGAAATCACCAAATAATGTGTTATGCTCGACTGAATGCACTGCCGGGCAATGATAATGAGTCCCATGATTACTCTGTGGAGATCAGCAAAGAGCCTCTGCTGATCTTGTTGCCAAATATGGGAACATGGTACTTCAAGCTCCAGCCTTTGAGACGATACCAAGAAGAAGAATCACAGCCGGTTTGCTATTCAATGGATTGGCAAGTGAAAGTATGCAGCAATGGAATGGCAGGGCCAAACTGTTCCTCGAGAACTCAAGTTCTAAAGGTTTGTGACGTGTTGGGGATTTGGCCAGTTATTAATTGAAAAAGTGGTGTTTGTGTTAACTTATAACCTATGTCTTTTAAGTAACTGTTTTCTTTTTAATTCAAGTAAACACATTGCAATGCTGCAGGGAGTTCATTTTGGTCTTAGAACTATGCCCTATGTTTACTTGCCTGACGTTACAAAAAGCAAGACTATAAAGGTTCATCCTGCAAATTCCACTTCAACAGCAACCAAAAGTTCAGATTCTGCCTGGACCTATTACTTCTTCAACACTTCAAAGGGTACATCAGGGAAGAACATGTACATTCGAGTCGAGCCAAGGTCGAGAATCGAATTTGACCTGTATGTCAGATACTCAGGCTTGCCATCAGTTGATCTGTGGGACTACTGCTACAGAAACCATAAGGCCGAGGGCAAGAACAACAGCATAATGTTTAAGGTGTATGAAGCAGCAAATGAAGGTGGAATCAGTTTCTACCTTTTGTATCCCAAAGAAGGGGATTGGATTGTTGGTTTGAGGCACAAACATGTGGGGAGCAACAACTATTCTGATTATGATCAAACTTCTGAAGTGTTTGTTTCAATCGAAAGTTGCCCGAATCAATGCTCGGGGTATGGGACCTGCTTGGACCAAATGGATGCAAGTGGACAGGATTTTACCTACAGGTTCGTTTGCCTGGTTTCGTTATAACACCTACAATATTCAGCAATCAGTTGAAAAGCAAAAAGAAAAAAGTCATCATTTTCCCCCTCCAAAACTTGTGTCCAGCTATTGCTCTTGTGATGATGATCGTGGAGGGTTAGATTGCAGTGTAGACATTCTACAGCGGCGAGGTAGTATTCCTCAATCCAGTTTGATCTTCTGTGAAAACACTAACGTTTTGTTATCTTCTAGGTTACTTAATATCGACTGATTGGCTTGAAACAGTGTGGCTGCTGCATGACTTGTGTCTTATATTCTCAAACCTGGCAGCCTTGCTTCCTGGATTCTGGACTCTCAGGCAACATGTAAAGTTTGTTATACTATACTATTTGGAACAAAAATTTCAAAAGACAATTAGCCATAAGAAGATGTCCTAGAAAGGTGGTGCTAGTGATGATATAATGAAGACTAAAAGTACAAGTAAAATTTGCAGGCATATTCAGAGGCAGCAATCTTCCTGGCAAGTGGAGCATCAAGTGGGATATACCACTCCTGTGATGTTGGCCTCTGGTGTTTTCTCAAATTCAATGTCCTTCAATTCCTAGACTTCTGGCTCTCATTCATGGCCATCATCGCCACATTCTTGTTCATTCCAACCATAGCCGACCCAGTCAGAGGATCCATTCGAGTCATAGCAGCAATTATCACAGCCACACTGACTGTAATGGGACCGACAAGATCTGTCAACGTGGCTGCTACGTTTGCTCTAGGAGCACTCTGCCTTTTACTGGGATGGCTGATCCAGTACTTCACAGATCACCACAGAGGAAGAAGACAATTGCAGGAATGGCCAATCCAAGTAATGATTAAAATAGTGAACAGAGGGTTGAGATGGGAATTTGTGGGGTTAGGTTTTGTAATGTTGGTATTGGCTGGTGGCAGTATGAAAATGGAGACTGCTCCAAGTTACTGGATTTGGCATAGCTTGTGGCATCTTTGTATATATGTCAGTGCTTTTTTCTTCCTTTGCTGCAAATTGCAGACAAATTCTGAGGGTGAAAGTGTCCCCAGGGGGAACTGCAGCAGTTGTACATGTAGTTCTAATGCTCAAGTATAGAGATGATAAATTAGTGGATTAAGATTTCTTCACTTGCAGTTGTAAGTTTATGTATTTTCTATATACACCCACAAAGCTTGGTTTAATTGTTTGAGACATTGATGTGCTTGCTTACAACTAAAATAATGCTCCAAACCAATTAGTTTGAAAGTAGTGGTGAAACTGGGTCATTGAATGCATAAAAATAATGCCCCTAGTACCTAAAACCTAAGCGCTGAAGGAATGAGTAAAAATCAACCCATAATTGTTTATGAACGTGTAAAACTAAATGGGTAACCATCAGACCATTAGCATGCTAAATGCTACCAAACCAGCAAATTGCCTGACATGTCGATCTATGACTCACTCCTCAATGAACTTAGAAACGACTTCCCATTTCGTATTTCGATGAACATACATTGCATCTGTCTGCTGGAAATCAGCATGAGACCAAACAGAAAAATTGCAGAAACTTTTACACGGTTCGCTGTATAAGGCTCGACGAAGACTACATCAACGGGAACTGTGATGATCTATCTTCTTCTATGTACAACTTCATATAGAGATTCTACTCACCTGATTCGATTCACCCAAGAGAAGGGCTCAGAATTCGCTTTGGGGGCAGATTTTTCTCGAGCAGCTTCAGCTGGATCACCAAACACATTCCAGAACCTGAGGGTTTCATCCCCTGCGGCAGATGCCACAGTGCAACCATCTGGACTCTGAGCCAGGAAAAGCACCCTGGAGGTATGGCCCCTAAGTTCAGCAGTCTTCACCATGGACGGATACTTCCACAGAGTCAGCTGGTTCCCGGTGAACCCATGAGAGCTCAGAAGCTCCCTTTCGCTCTTGCTCCACAGCAGCCCACAGACCTGGGCATACGTGTTGGCCGAGTTCAAGCAAGCCCCCGTGATGGTGTTCCAGAACTTGATGCTCATGTCCCCTCCGCCTCCACCTGAGGCAAGCAAGTTGGCTTGGAATGGACACCATGCCAGAGCCCTCACTGCTGCAGTGTGTTCCTCCATCCTGTGAAGCCATCGATGAGCTGCAGCCATGGAACTTCTTCTTCTGTCCCATATGTGGATGAGATTGTCATTTCCCCCACTTGCTAATTGCTGTCCTGAAGCTGACCATTTTAGCCCACAGACTTCCTGTGAATGCCCCCTGTAGGTCCCTACAATGTGGTCGCGAATTCGGACATCGTTGTTCATGATCAGACCATCCATTCCACCAGTGGTCAGGATGTGGTTGTTCCATGCCAATGACCCGACTCGACATCTGTGTCCACCTTTCAGAGTCCTTAACTGTAGAAACAAAGCAATACCAATTACCAACAACTGAACCAGTCAGAACCAGACTCTCTTAAAAAGGAAAATGGAAAACAAAGAACTCAAAAGAAATTTAGAAACCTGTTTATTAGAGGCGGCATCCCACAACTGGACTTCAGAGTTCTCCAAGCCAATAGCGAGATGGCGGCCGTCGGGAGCCCAATTCACGCTGGTAACTAGGCCATGTTCCTCATCAACTGTAACAAGCTCTGAAGTTGAGCCATGGGAAGCATCCCAAAGATAAACTGATCTTGCTAGAGCTATGGCAACAACATTGCTGCTGCCCCAGTCCAGTAAGTTCAAGTAGAAATCATCAACAATGTCCGGAGCATCCAATGCCCTCTCTGAAGTCTACACAAATGAAAGCAATCATCTATCAATCAGCAGCTGCTACTTTCTATAACGTAACTAGACAATTCAAGATGTACTAGGTGACCAATAATAATATCATAAACTAAGCTGTAGGCGGAACGTTGGATACCTGCCGAATGCGCCTGCGAGGCTTAGCTGGTTTAGGCTGCTGGTGATATGTAGACGAAGAAGAAGCTGAAGAAGAAGTGTGTTGACGAGGGATCAGCTCGACCGGGACAGGTGGCTTGTTCTTGAATGCAAAGATCCTAGTTCGGTTCAGGTTCAACGTCTCAGCCAGTAGCCTCCGGTAAGCCTCGCTCGAAGGAGACCTAGAAAATGGTGGCTCCTTTTCTTTCCTACCTTCAGTAACCATCCAATGGGCGTAACCCATGTCCATCGCCGATCGATTTGGTATGAACCTATCCAACTGTTCACCAGCACACAAAATAAGAACGAAGCCTTTCTTTGTCAGACAGGAGGAAAAAAAAATTAGAAACTGGGATGCAATCACAACTCTACCAAACCCTAAACCTAGAAGATAAAAACAGCAATCGGGGAAGTGAAAAGAACTAATCTTGATATCTTAAACACGGTGAAGGAAACTGGAAATTCAAATTCGATCAAACCTAAACCCAATTAAGGAAGGGGGAATAAAAAAAACAGATTCGGGTAGGTGAAAGGAATGCTCACGTTCTCTTCGGAACTACTCCTCCTCTGGTGCGGGAACCTGGGATTAGGGTTGCTGTAAATCATATTCGCTGACCCTGCATTCAAAACGAGAAAAAAAACAAAACAAAACCAGACAAGAAAGAAAGAAAGAAAGAAAGAAAGAAACCCTAACAGCTTACTGTAAACAAACAGATACGATTAGTAAAGAACGAAAATCAACGACTGTGTGTGATCTGCATAACAGGGGTAAGGAAAAGAGAATAGCAAGCTATCTAATCGCAGATGAATTCAACTCAAATGGAAGCAAGCAAAGAAAAATAGCGGCCAGCAAGAAGAATCAGAGCCGAGAGCCGGAGGAAGAGAGCTCCGTTGTGTAGGTCGCCGATGAGAGAGCCGTTAGAGAGCAGGAAGAGGAAGGGTCGGAGAACAATGATCGCAAAACTGAATCGGAGAAAGGCGCGCTTTGCAGGTTGTGGGAATTTATAGACTGTTGGGTTTGCGGCAAAACAACGCACTAGCCGTTTGGAACTTTGCATTGCCGGAACCGCCCTTATTTTGGGCCCGTTTATTGTGCGAGTTGGGCCCGAGTGGAGCTATGAGAGCCCATGCGTTAAACAAAGCCCTTCAAATTGTGAATAGTGAATACACTTTTCGTAGCAACTAGCAAGTAGCACAAGAGGATTGAAAGAGGAATAAGACCAAATGGCCATCTGCATAAATATGAGTCACAAGAGGATTGAAATTTTCGTAGCAACTAGCAAGTAGCAACTAGGCGGAAAGTTGAATATCTTGAACAAGCTTTGCAGAAGGTATATGGTGAGAGCAGGGGTAAAGTTTTGGTCGAAGAGGTGAAAGATGAAATGCGTCTTCTGTTTGACCATTACAAGCATAGGCTCGGACTTTCTGGCAGTTCTCCAATTCTGATTCAGGAAGATGTGCAAGAACCTAGTGGAAGTGGGGATGGGAAGAAGAAAGGGAAGATTTGGGGTGATTTTAGGAAAATGAAAAGAGAGGCCATTATGAAAGGAACTAGAAAAAGTTCCAAATCTGAGTTTGATAGGTACCTTGAGGAGGAGGAGGATGATGAAGTGGTTACACGAGCATTGGTGGGTTCAGAAGAGGATGAATACAAGTTTGACATCTTGGGATGGTGGTCGCGAGGTGGGATGAAATATCCTACTATTTCTGAGATGGCTAGGGATATTCTTGTTGTTCCTATTTCCACTGTTGCTTCTGAGTCGGCATTCAGCACAGGAGGTCGAGTTTTAGATTCGTTTAGGACCTCCTTATCCCCTGAAGTTGTGGAGGCTTTGATTTGTTGTGAAGATTGGATAAGATCTTCAGACTCCGAGTTGGTGGCTGATGGAGAAGATGAGGGTGATGAAGTGGTATTTCAAAATGGTAAAGACTTAATCTCTCTCTTTATTCTTATATTTGTTATCTTGATCAAGTCATATTCTAACAAGTTGTTATTGTTTATGTTATCCCGTATGTGCAGCTTTTCAAGCTCGGAGTTCAAGTGCACCTGCAGGACCTAGTGGAAGCTCTCGTGCATGACCTAGTGGAAGCTCTCCTGCTACCCATGTTTTGGTCCCGAGTCCTACTATGTCACAAGTGGAAGAAGACTATGTCGACGACAATTCTGATGAGAATGATGAGACTTATGTAGATGTAGAGCCTAATGAGGAGTGATAATGGTAGTAGTGTTTATCTTGGATAATGGATGAATTTTTATTTTACTTGGATGTTATCATTTGAGAATTGTAAAACTAATGTGTTTAATTACGAGTTGAAGATAATCTCATCTATGATTGTCAGTATTTTATGTTGAACAAAATTATTTATAATTTTGCGCCAAACACCAAACATTTTTTTGCATATGATAGTTGATATACCTTCAATTTTGGACCTATGATATTACTAAAACATTTAATTATACGAAAATCCACAATTAAATAAGATATGATTAAGTTACGTATAAGATATGTTTAAGTATTTCACTTTGTCTCTAAACTACTAATACTCTTTAATAGTTAATAGTACGTCTATAGTTATAGAATACATAAAATTAAATATTTTAATAATTAACTAATATTTTAATAATAAATTAATATGTAAATATTAGTTTTATATTGTCCACGTTCCATAAAATTAAACATAATGGTTAAATAAGAATGCACAAATAATAAGAATAAAATTTTTTGTACAAGCAAAAGAATGGAAAATTAAATCACAAAAGTAAAAAAAAAAAAAACAGAACAGTTCGGTTTCGGGTTTACCCGAACCGAACCAAACCCGACAGCATCAATTTCGGGTTTCAGCACCCGAAACCCACAAGGTGCATTCTCGGTTTCGGTTTGTGTGGACGCGGGTTCGGTTTTTCAGTTTTCACGGGGTTCGGGTACCCGAACCGAACCGACAGGCCTGCATGTATGTATGTATAATTGTATATGTATAGCAGTATTTTGGTTTGGGGTTCGCACCTGCGAATCACGTGGCTGAAAAATTTCCTCTTTCGCTCAGTCCGCACAGAAACGGGGGATATTCCTTTTACTTCAGGACCCGGCTCTCGCCTGTCATCTCTCGTCTCGTCTCTCGAACCAGAAACACGACGACCCCTCAGAAAACCGAGTTAGGGATCCTGAGTGGACTCGCTCGTCAGCTGATCCATTCATAGTTGCAACTTGCAATCTTCCTTCACACTCTACTTCTTCTTCTCTTCCTCCACAGGTTCGGGAATTTCCCCTCTGCTCGATCCTTCTCTCTACCCATTCCCCAGTTTATGCCTACTTAGATTGTTTTTGACGATATTGAAAATTCAAGGTCGTCTGCGCTTGAATCTGGTCCAATTATGCCTGAATGGCTGTTTTTGTGGCTGAATTGTTTCCTTTCATGCACTTCCTAGCCGAGAAAAGTATCTGTTGGTGGGTGTAAAAGGAAGGAAGGAAAGAAAATGTTTATGGGAATGGGATTTCGTTACTCTTACCAATTGGGTGAAATCTCCGGTGTTCATTGCGTTCTGCTGTTGAATGATCTGAAAATGTCCCGATCCCTGAATATTTTGCGTTTAGCTTTTTGTTCTGTTTCTCTAACATTGTGCTCTCCCTCCTTGCTGTTCATTTTGATGATGCTCCATGGAGGGTTTTTGTAGATGTCACATTCAAGGGAAGGAAGGTGAGCTAGTTTCCTCTCTTCATGGTCACTAGCGGTTGCTAATGTAACTGTCCCTGTGGCTCTTTCTCCATGTGTCGTTGTCTACTGCTGAAGCTCCTTAGATTTGAGTGGGGTTTTTCGACCATTGTTTGCAGGCGTGGACCCTCGAAGTCTCCCTCACCACGTCCCTCGGCGGCTTCTTCTCCTAGAGCTCGAAGGTCAAGATCATTGTCCCGGTCACGAAAAAGTCGCTCCAGATCAAGGTATCAGTGTTGGGATCGTGGGGCAGGTTTCATTTCAGTGTATGTTGTGTATTGGGGAAATGTGACAGTTTTCAATTTGGGTATGTTGTAGGAGCCGAGAATCTGTTGAAGCTTACAATCCTGGAAATAATCTCTATGTGACTGGTCTATCCACTAGGGTTACCTCCAGTGATCTTGAGAAGTTCTTTGCTAAGGAAGGGAAGGTATGTTCTTCGCTATGTCATAGAATAGATTCTTTCCCAGGGCATGAAGACTTGATATGGTTACTACACCTCTGTTGATGCTGCCTACATGATGTTTAGTTTACTTATTCTACTTTTTGGATTCAGGTGGTGGAGTGCAATCTGGTGCTTGATCCTCGCAGCAAGGAATCCCGTGGATTTGCTTTTGTCACCATGGAAACCACCGAGGCTGCTGAGCGCTGTATCAAGTACTTGAACCGTTCTGTGCTTGAAGGACGATTGGTCACAGTGGAAAAGGTATGCATAGAAAGATTTCCAGTTCAAGGAGTTTCATCTATTATCATGTATGCACTTTTTGCATGTCTTTGTTTGGAAACATTTCCTTTTTTATTCAGAAGCAATGGCCTAATAATTTTTGGCAGCAGGTTTGCTATGTGTAACTTCATCATCGAATTCACCATCTAAGCTCTCCTAAACAGTTGAACCCCATCATCCCTTCCGCAATCACCACGATATGAGTTCCGCATCGACTTGTTGAATTCCCCGTCGATATTGATTCAAATCGATCAACTGTATTTGCGGAGGGTTGTTTATCTTCCCTTTTCATCGTTAGTAAAAAGTATCTGCCCTCGAATTTTCTTTTTATTTTTTTTCTATTCACTTCTTATCGCATATGATGACGGAGTCGCACTAAAGAACTGCTACATTTGCATCAATCTTTTTCTCATTCTATCGTATTTTTCTCGTAATGCGATATTCGTTTACATAGAAAGGGATGATATATGCATAAATCTCTCGATTTCCGATGAGAATCAGCGGAATTGCAGATTATTGTCATCGCTTGCAGATATAGAAAACTCTGTTTTGCCTTCTTCAATGGGAATGCTTTCCAAAAAGGCAGCATGAGCAATATCTATTGTGGATTGCTTTTTTTTAGCTTCATCAACTAGTTGCTGACATTGGATTTTTCTGCTTTGGTTACAATTCTAGGCTAAAAGGTCTCGTGGCAGGACACCAACTCCCGGGAGGTATCAAGGTCTGAGAGAGCGACGAGGTACATCCTCTTGTTCTTACAATAGATTCCTTTTGTTAATCAAGCAACCATGCATTTGAGGGGTGACTTTCATGTCTTGGTTGTTTGATCATCTGTTCTTTCTCTGGAATTGTCACTAGAGATGGATTTTGCTTGGAATTGCTTTTTTTTTCTTTCCAGCATCTTAACTACATAGAGTTATATGTCATATGCCGGTCCACTATCCTCAAACTATTTTTTTCCTTCAAATGGTATTCCATTTTCGTTTTTCAATTGTTCCTAATCAAGCCGTGTACTGTTAGTTTTTGGTTAGCTCGACTGGTATGGGGTTCCAGTTCCACCCTGTTGACTGAATAGTGACTTGGCTCCCAATCAACCTAAATTAATCTGAATGACCCCTAATGTTTCCCTGGTCGCCAGCAGAGAAAAGATTATTCAAGTGACTTGGATAGCAATAAGATTATAGTTTGAAGGTGGCCACATGTCATGTAACTCAACTAGATTTTAATCCTGAAATCTTTGGTTCCTGAGAAGCTCACGGGTTGTCACATTATCTGCACTTTTGCAGGACGTGGTAGTCAGAGGCGCTCGCGTAGCTACTCGCCTCGTAGACGTGACCACCGAGAGCGAGAGAGGGATCCATACCCAAGGGATCGACGAGGCAGATCGCGATCTCCTTCTGGAAGAAGGAAAGATGATCATCATGACTCGCATAGGAGGCACAGGGAAACTTCACCCTCAGCAGATCGGAGCCACCGTAGGTAGGTAGACAGACAGATGACCGGTGGGGTTAAGATGAAAGAATCATCCCCTACCTACCGAGCTACTGCTATATCCAGTCTTGTTTACTCTGCTCATCTTATCAGGATCCAATTTATTGGGGGAAGCCCTTAAGAGTTAAGACCAACTGGGTTTAGGTTATGTTTGTATACTCATTTTGTATCCGTAGGATCTTGGCGAAGCTTTGTATCTCTTCTGTTCATCATCTGCAGTAGCTCTATCATCTAACTTGGGGATTTCTGGTTATTTTCTTCTCTTCATCCTCCTTGCTACGAGGCTTGGATGATGGTTAATATGATTAACGCAGAGCAGTAAATTCTTAATAATATCGTACTGAAGTGTGAAAAAACTGGCAAAAGCAGAGAAGGTTGACGTTTTTGTCCCGTAGCAATAGGCTGGAATTTGATTTTGAAGGGGGCGTGGGCCGGAGTGGTGGCTGTAGCTGTGTCTGTGTGTGCAGAAAGGCAGAAACTCGTTGTACGCTACCAAGGATCTTCTTGACACAGTTTTTGGCAATCAATGACGTGCCTAATACATTTCAAAATTTTCATATATCTCTTTATCTTTTTATATTTTGTTAAAAAGTGAATAGAAGTTAACATCAAATAGGGATGAGAGTAGAACACAAATCCGAGGGTATTCTATCCGACCCAATTCGGTCAATGTGATTAAAACTCGCTTTGACGGATTGTGGGTCGGTTTGGGTTTAAACTCGTTATATTTTTTTGCGGGTTGGGTTTGGGTTTGGGTTTAGTCATATTCAACCCGTGGATACCCGCAGTCCATACCTCCCACGACCCACAAAACCTTTAACTAATTAAATATAATATCTAAACTAATTCCTCAGATGTTCAATTAATCATATTGTGTGTATGTTTATCTTTAATATTGAACAATTAGTATGAATGATTTGTGAGTTAGTGTGTATGTAGTAGACAATGGTAGTGAAAATTAGTGTGTTTGCATCTTTGTACATGAACTCACGGGCACCCATGAACCCCCCGCGGATACCTAACTGGTTGGGTTGGGTTTGAGTTTTCCACACCCTGTGAGTTTTACCCCGAGTTTTTTTGGATAGATAAACCCATAGATTTGGGTTTGGGTTTTACATAACCCGCTCCAACCCGACTCATCCATGTTTAAAAAAAAAACCCTTTCTCTCTCCTTTTTCAAACGCTCTAACTTCTCTCTATTTTCTATCGGCCTCTACATAGGGCTGCCGCCGGCACCACTCTGGTGACCGGTGGTGGCCCAAAATCTCTAAATTTTTTTTTCTGTTCGTTCTCTTCTCCCCGGAGTTCTTTTGTGGTCCCTTGCTCTCCGATGTCCGTTGGCTTTTCCGGGTTCCTTTCTGTTTTTTTTCAGCCCTTGTTGTCTTTGCAGATCTATTTTGTTTCCTGCCCCCATGGCTCTTCCAGCCCTTGGTGGCTTCTCTCGGATCCTAAGTGGTTCTCTCCCACAGTCCTCCCTAGTGGAGATGTTGTGTTTTGTTCAGATCTAGTTTTCTAGATCTGTCCCTCTGTTCTGGGTACGGAAGATGCAAGTTGGGGGTGCTTCTGTTGGTTTGCTTTTGAAGACTCCCCCATTCTTGGTGTGGTCGTCCCCGTGGATGACCGCGTTCACCGTTCCGCCTTTGCCGTTGGGCTCTTTGCTTGATCCTTGCATCGTTGCCAATCGTCTTTGTGGGTTGCGGTGTCTCTTCCGAATGCCGATTCGGATGGTTCATGTTTCTCAGAGATCTGTGTTCTACCTTGGGGTTGATTTGCAGTGTGGGTTGTTGTGGATTGTGTGGGTTCTGCTGCTCTTTGGGTGTCTCGTTTTGGCTTTGTGTTTCTGCAGGTGAAGCTCTTGCTGTTGGGCCTTTGTTTCTTGTGGCTTTGTTGGCATTTTCAACCCTTGGTGTACGCTGTTCTCTGTTTTGTGTCCATCCGTTGCCGGCACCCTTTCTTTGTTTCAGCTCTGACCAATCCGTTACAGTCCTGTCCACCGCCATGTAATCTCTTCGGGGATTCACCGTGATGGGTCGTCTTCGAACAACTCCCAGGAGGCGGCATATGGTGTTGCAATGTTCAATCATCATGGTCAATTCTGTAATGGATGAGCTGAAGCTTTGCTTTGAGTTTTCTGATAAATGAGGATGCAAAGAGTGTTTCGGATGCTTTGTGTTGCGGCTCAAGAATGGAATGGCTCTGTCTTGTTGGATCATGCCTGGTTTTCTTTTGTTCTGATCTCTTCCTCGTGTGTGTTCCTCTGGATGTTTGAGGTTGTTCTTTTTTGGTCCCTTTTCACGTTTTGTATCCCCTCTTTGTAACTGATTTTATTGGTTAAGCAATACAAGTGATCCTTTGTCAAAAAAAAAAAAAAAGACTCATCCATGTTTGATCAACACAAGTTTGTGGGGTAATTAGCATAAATGGTCACAAACCTTTGCACTTAGTACAAAACAGTCACAAACCTTTAATTTGTAACCATTTGATAACAAAACTTTTTTACTTAGAACAAAACGGTCACAAATTAAACAGTGTGACCATTTCATACCAGTTCAAACTTTTGTTACCGTGTCGTTGCAAATTAGACTTTTGGTGACCGTTTTGTACAAATTAAGTTCAAAAGTTTGAACGCTCAATCACCGTTACAATTCACTCTAGTTGAATGGTGGTTTTGTTAATGTATGTGAATGATATTATGTTGTTTAGGATGACAATGAGAGAATTCAATGGCTCACAAACGGGTTCCAGACTGCTTTTTAGTTGAAAAACTATGTCTACTTTCTTACTTTCTTGGTATCGAAATTGAAAGGTCAACTGAGGGCATTCTTATTCGGCAAAGCAAATATGTCGATGAACACATGACCTGACATCTTATATGTCGTTCAAGTGGTTAGTGTCATATACTTAACGAACAAACTACCCGACCTCAAAACATGACCAACATTTAATTTGTAACGATTCGGTAACAAACCTTTGCACTTAAAACAAAACGGTCATAAATTAAATAGCGGTGACCATTTTATACAATTTCAAAGTTTTGTTACCGTATTGTTACAAATTAAAGGTTTGTGACCATTTTGTACTAAGTGCAAAGGTTTGTTACCATTTATGCTAATTACCCCAAGTTTGTGTCGTGCCCTTTTCTCTACCACTTTCATAGTCATCATTGCGTACTAGCCGTAGTAACAAATTTCCCAAATTTTCATGAGATATATACTAAAAACAATTATATGCAATCATGCTTGTCATAATTTATAACGAAATTTGTTGTGCATGCAAAATATGCGATGATCATATACACAAATGAATATGATCCATATGGATATGTATCCTGCAAAGCGAGGCTGCAACACAAATACACAATGGAGTTTTTTTTTTATCATTCCAATAATTCAATTTAACTTGGTAGCATTCTCCCCTACATATCTAAGGCTTCTGAATTTCCCTTTTGATACTTGTTAGTGCAGTCAGCTCTCAGCAGTACTATCATATGTGACACCAATCATCATCTCCAATATAATTTTTTTTTTAAATAAAAAAAAACCAAATTGTAGCCATGGAGTATGGCTATTATTATTAGTAATTATTAAAAATGTTATGATTTTATTATGTCCTTCTTCTTTGCAAAAATGTGGATAGGGTTTGGGGGTGGGTACAAATTGCGAAAAAAACGCAATCGTTGCTTTGCTGCTATAAGATCCGACAGCTGTGCTTCTGACACGTGTACGTCATTCACCGCGTCGTCTCTGGGCTCTCTCTCTCTCTCTTTCCCGCTCGGCTCGGCTCGGCTCGGCTGGAGAGTTGAGAGTGCAGCTGGCCGTTCCTTCAATTATTTTGATTTGACTTTTGCTTCAGCCCCGGGGGCTTTCCCGTTGGCTCTCTGCTCTCTTTCTCTCTTAAGTACAATCAATGCCCAACATTAAGCAGCGCAAACCCAGAATTGAAGCATATATATGGATTAGTGGACAAATTAATTAAGCTCCTGGGCCCAACGTCCTTGAAATAAGCGGATGTCGCCATGTCGGATTCATTGGATATACACTTCTATTTTATACCCTTTCTGGTTCTGTTCTAGCTCACAATCCTCAACAAGGATGAGAGATAAGAATGCCTTTGTGGCGATTGGCACCTCCTTAATCCTCTCCCATAATGATCATTGGAAAGGAAAAGTCGATCCAACAGCTAGCTAGAGTTCGGTATGAATTACTTTTGGGTGTATAGAAATATTGGATGGTTTGTACGAGTTTTTTGGTACTAAAAAAACTCTTTTGATAATGGCTCGCATCGTTCCAACAACAGATGGGGAACACCTCCGATTGCATGCATTAACTTGGAGTCCTATTACACCTAAGTTGAACTTCAATAGAAAAATAATTCAAGTCACTTTATTCATGAAAGTTTCCTCTACATAAGTCATTTCAAAATGACTACTTGTTTATCCCAACGTTTCCAATTACACCATTGCTTCATTTTTACTAAACTCATTTATATCCTTCCCTTTCTACTATTTGTTTCTCATGTAATTGCTTCATCTTCCTCCGAAGTTATTTTTTTATCTCCCCAAAAATTTTACAGGCGATAAAAGGATCATTCGTCTTGCCGTCTCCACCAAACTCTATTTACTCCAACTATCGTGTCAACGAAGATGTTGCCTTCAAGAATGAGTCGCAACTCTCCCCAGTCAATAGAGCTCTCTTCTCCGTCGTTGGGAATCGACACATACCAACCCAGATCGGTGTCGCCATCTTGTCGTTCATCTACTCAATGACACATCATTTTCATTCACAAACCATCATTTGCAGGCGTTCATGAAAACATATTAAATGATTTTGTTTACGTACTTGGTTTTATTACGACATGAAACATATTAAATGATTTTGTTTAGGTACTCTAATTTTCAATATTAAGGATAAACATGTTATTTAATATAAAATTGAATTTTTTATTTTCATTAAATGTTAACAATCACAGTTACCGGACAATAAATATTTTAAAATTCATTTTCAATAATCCGAATATTAAAATTTTTAGATTATTTACAATCTATAAATTTAAATTGAGAAACCAACCTTAGGCTAATTCACGTAAACAAGTAGCAGCCTAGCTAGTCTACCCTTTTTTTTTTTTTTTTTTTTTTGCTCAAGCCTAGCTAGTCTACCCTTGCACTCGAGCAATGATGGTTTTTCTTTGAACACAGCAGCGGGGCCCCACCCAGCCATTGGGGGAAATTTTTGAAGCAGCGCGCTCGTTTGGAATAACGACAAAGATGCTTCTCAAAACAAAAACAAAAAGATAAAAGAAAATAAACACACAAATGCCGTGCCAGGCTGCCAGCCGATTAGCCGACACGAAGCCCCAAAATTTCTCTAGCACAAAAAAGGAAGACGGGAAGAAAAGCAAAGAAAAGAAAAACTCTCTCTCTCTTTCTCTGTCAATTTCGAAGCTCGTTTAACGGGGAGTAGCCGGTAAACCGGCGGGCAGAAGCCGGTTACTAAGAAGAGGGCGCCGTACGGGTGGTGGGCACATGGGTCGGCCTTTGCCGTTGCCCCTGTTTCTCCAAGTCCTCGGCCATGGCAGTTGGTAATGCATTTATAGTGTGTGAGTGTGAGTGAAAGTGTTGCTCTCTCTTTTTCTTCCTTCTTCCTCCTATTTTATTTTCTCTCTCTCTCATCATCCGTCCGTCCCTTCTTTCCTTCCTTTGCTCCTCTTCCCTCCTCGATTCCTGTGCTCTTCTTCTTCTTCCAGCAGTTTCAAATTCCTCTCCTTCCTTCTCCTCTCTCCTACTCCATCGACGACGATCCGGCCACTTTTCCGAGACGGAGGCGGTTGATAATTTTGTTGCATTCTTTTTTCTGCTTGGTACAGGTAATCCAAGCTTAACTCCATATGTTTGTTTTCATTTCTCATTTTCAGTTTTGGAGTTTTCATTTCAGTTATCTTCGTTGTTCGATTATGGCGGAATTCCTTCCTTCTTTTTGAATTTTTTTTTTACTGCGATTGCGGTCTAGCAAGAAACTTCTCTTATTTGGGTTTTTGGGGTAATTGGAGACATCGACTAGAAAGCTTTGCTGAATTTATGCCGATTGGCATTGTATAATTGGTTCTGATTGATTTCGCAGTTGTTTTTCATTTTGGGGGGAAAGAACATTGGAAATTTGGAATCAATCAAAAAGCATTTGTTAATTGGATTAACAACCTTATTCAGGTGGATTTTTTGGATTGTTCTTGACGAAGAGAGAGACAGGGAGGGGAGTTTATAAAAAAAAAAAAAAAAAAAAGCGCACACACACAGAGACAAACAAAGCAAGAATGTTTTTCTTTGTTGCAGGGTTGAGTGTAATGCTGTTGCAGCTTGGAAGATGAATTTTTATTATTATTTCGGAGAAAGAATCATCTCGTCTCTGTTCTTATCTGAATCAAAACAGTAGTAGTGTAGTAGTGTCAAGTGTGTTTCATTTATTGCCTTCAATTCTAGTCCGTGATTCCACATTTTCAAATTAAAATTTTTTTGGCTTCTCTCTCTCTGTCTACCCTCTAATCTATCTGTCTCAAAGATGGCTGATAATAAATATATTGGGGATTGTCTGTTTCCTCTTCTTTTCCCTGACAGGCATCCATCCAATTGCTTCTTCTGGGCTCTGTGCACCGATTTACTCTACTCCACTCCACTCCCTCACTGCAGCTCGGAATTTTTACAACTTGAGTTGAGCGCTGTTGATCCAGAAACCCAAATGAGTGTCTGAAAACCATTTCGCCAATTAGCAATCACCCATTAAAAAGCTGCCTCTGCTTCTTGTTGACACGATGAAAATTCCGTGCCTTTCGGGATTGCTGGATTAGGGTTCTTCTGGGGATTAAGAGGCGGGCGTGATTGTTGTGAGTTTCTTCTGCTATTGGGGGGGATTAGAGAGAGAGAAAAGATACAAAAAAAGGTATGCTGGAGGCCAGTGAGCTTTGCTCTGCTCGCATGCTTTCACCTTTTAGGGACGAGAGTGGTGATGAAGAGCTCTCCGTCCTGCCAAGGCACACCAAGGTCGTTGTCACTGGAAACAACAGAACCAAGTCTGTTCTTGTGGGCTTACAAGGCGTGGTCAAGAAAGCTGTTGGCCTTGGAGGCTGGCATTGGCTGGTAATTTCCTTTTTCTTTTGCTCATCATTACCTCTTCTCTAACAACTTTTCCTTTGTCTGCATTAGTCCTTAATAGGAAAATTAAGCTGTGATTTCTCTTTTTCCCCATTCAATCTAGCTTAAGTTTGAGTCCTGTTCGTATCTTGGTGATGGATAGTAGTATATTTTCTTGTGGGGTTTTCTCTAATACTTTTTTCTTTGCTCTTGTTCATTTATTGGTGTGACATAAAGCTAAGCACTTTGCTGTTTTTGGTAGAGCTTCTGTTTTGTTGGCTTCTGAAATTGTCAAATGTAGAGCAAACAGCAATTCAGGTTCTCTGTGAGTTGGGCTTAGGGTGGATGAAAACACTATTATTGGCACAGTACGAAAGGAAATCAAGAAAGTGATAGGGGGTAACAATGTCAATTTTTTTTGGGCCTGTCTCATTCTATACGCCCACTAGCCCAATCCGAAGACTTGGCCAAGATCCCCCGCCCTCCATTTCGCCGGATCATACGCGGATTCCCTTCTTTTCCTACTCGTATGATAATTAGTTTATTTCCCCTATTTGTTGAGATTTACCTAAGCTCACCTTACTACAAACTGCTATTGGATTACGATCACGATTTCTCAGCAGAGGCTTGAACTGGTTATATATACTAACTCTTTATTCAAATAGTATAGAACCCTAAAAACTGTTATCTCAATTTCATAATCATGGCGGACCGTGTAAGCAAGCTCAGTCGAGAGGTGTGTATAACTCTGAGGCTCATTGCTTGGGAACTGATTTCTTCGTAACCCTTTTTGAGCTCTTTCGTTCCATGTTCTTACCAGAGTTTTCTTTCTTCAATAACTCTGACTTCATTGTTTTGGTTTATGGAAAATGATAAGGTCTTGAAAAATGGGGTTGAAGTGAAGCTGCAAAGGAATGCACTTAGCGTACTGGAGCATCCAACGGGGAACGAAGTGGGAGATGAAGACGATCTTGATCTGTACAACAGCAGTGGCTCTGACATTGGTGAAAAGGACCATGATTTCTGTACGCAGTTATTAATATCCCATCTTATGAAGATCATGTTCTGTTCTGTTTCCTTTTTTGTTTTGGTTATAGAGCAACCAATAATTTTGGTGTTCCCTGTTTTCCAGATAACGGCAGCCAGTTCCACAGATTCAGCAAGCCTAGAGTTCGTCCGGCAGCAGCAAAGCACTCGTCCTGCTATCCACCTGCAGCGGCTCCAGCAGCTAAGTCGACGAATCACATCAGTTTTAGGGATGTTCAGTCAATTATCCGTTCATCTCAGAGAGTAAGAATCCTTGCATTAGATTTTGTTTACCATGTTGAATTGTTAGCTCTCAAGCGCCAAATACTGAATTGGAGTGGTGCATTTGGGTTTGTAGAAGGTGAACTTGGTGAAACTAGGGAAGGACTCGTTATGGAGATACTGCAAGCATTACAAGCTAGTGAGTATCTTTCCCCCCCTTTAAGCTCCTGTCTTTGCTTGGAATCTATACACTTCGTTAATTTTGTGTTCCAATGGAATTCATTTGTGACGCTAGGCTGGCATCAACATAGATTCACCGAGGGAACAGATGCTCACCGTTGTGCAACAGCATTTCCTTTCAATGGTCTGTATCTTGCATTTCTTCTTCTCTTCAAGAAACGGGGAGTCTTGTTAACGCAGTGTATTTTCCAGTTGCAGCAGCGACTGAACGAGAAGGACGTGATCATGGGAATCGTCATGCATTCAGCCAGGAGACGGAAACAGTTTGCAAAACCACCAGCCGCGAAGTGAGACGAGACTGAATCAGTGATGGAAGGCTGCTACTACTCATTGTAACTATTAGGAGAGTGATAATAACCCTAACCATCTTTATTTAGATCAGGTCTAATTGCATGTGCTGATGATACTTGGGAGATGACCTTTCTTTGCTCCTCTCCCTGGATTCCAGAACTGACCAATTTGCCAATTTGGTCCCACCTTTCATGTCCATGGTTGGCTATGAGAACTCTAGGTATTTATCATAGGCTTTCTGAAGAACAAGTACTGCATCGTGAGAGCAGTTCGCTGTAGATATTTTGTTGATATGATGAGATCAGTATTTCCCAGGTTGATATTTCTTTTCTGAAATCGGCATACGTTCTCATGATCATAATTGTCTTTGATGAATTTGTCCATTTCAATCGAGGAAAGCTTTCTTTCTCCCTCACAGATCAATCTCAAACCTCGTAAAGGATTGATCTATACCTTTCATAACAATGGAGGCAACATTAACTTTCTTCCAACGTATAGAATGCTTGCAACTTGCAAGACATTGTGGTTTCACTCTCATGGCGATTACAGGAATTAGCTGATTGAGTGGCGAAACAAAGTTAACCCAAAACTCACACGATCAAAACAAGGGAATATGATATGATTTCTCCTCTCCACAGGGAAAAATGGTAACTTCAATCCCTTACAGCCATGCGAATAAAACCCTAATCCCAAAACCAAAACACAGGGGGGAAAACCCTAGACGAAATCTTTCTAAGAACATAAACCGTTCGCCGCCACGGGGGGGATTTTTCATACCTCGTCCTCGTGGAGAAGCATGTTGGGGATCCCTTTGCTCACCGAGAATTTCCGGCCGGTCTCCGGGCAGACTAACGCCCCTTCCTCGAGATGAATCTCCAGAAGCGCGTGGTGGAATTTGCCCAGGAACTCTTCGGACTCCAGCATCGACTCCTCCGCCTCCTTCGGCAGCTCGGCGTAGCCCAGGGACCTGGCGGCGTCGGAGAGGGCTCTCCATTCGATCTTGGAGAAGATGTTTCGGAGGAAGTCCGGGTTGAGATCGACTTCCTTATGGATCACTTTCTCGGCCTCGATTCGGAGCGGGAAGCCGTTGACGACTCCCTTGATGTTGGAGGAGAGCATGTTGTGAGTCAGTAGCCTCATCGTGCCTTTTTTTCTCCGTCTCGTGCCGTCGTCTAGAGGCGCCGCGGCGACGATAGATTTATTGAGGGTCAGTGGCGGCTGGGGAAGACGGAGCTTTGTGAATCTGAATTTCTCAAATCGAATCACGGCGAAGGCTAGGAAGTGGAGTAGCTGATATAAAGCGCAAGTGGAAAAGCCGAAAAGCTAAACAAAAAGCCCAAGCCTAAGCTCAAGCCCACTTCAAGGGATCAGGGGAACCAAAAGCAGAAAAGAAAAGAATGGGGCCCAATTGTCCCAAGAACCCATACCACTAAGAAATTCCTTTTTCACAAACCTTGAGATTTATTCATTTATTAACAACAAAGATGGAAATGTGACATTGCCCCATCTTTACAGCTTTGCTATTGTGTAATGCCACCTCATCTTACTCTTAAACAAGGCAAAAAAATACATTTTCTACTTTGTTGAGTTCTATCATCAGCATTCCACATTGCAAAAACTAACAATACCAAACAAAGAAATTATGCTTTCTCACACACTTCACATTCTAGTCGACATTCTCTGTTCATTTGTTTGTTTATACTTTATATACTGTTAAGTGCCTTGTCCCAAACGGAAAGCAAAAGAAATGGTTGATAGCCAAGGTTGGTGGGAGGCAGCTGAGCAGAGTTGAGTGCCTGATTGGTCCAGATCCTGCCCCTTGGCCCAAGCCCAGGCCCAGCCGCCCGAATAGGCTCCACCTAAAAATTCCGCACCGTTAACCGCTTTCGTCTTTTGTGGAACCCACACGTCTCAGACTATTAAACAAACCGAACAAAGAAAATCCCAAAGTCAGTAGTAAGTTCGCGGGTGGAACCTTTTATCCAAATAATATTCTTCTTTGTCATTATGGTAAAAACATTTTTTTCCTCGTTCAATTACGGTTAAAACAAATTCTTTCTTTGTTAATTGGTCCTTAATTATATAGCCAAGAAAATTTGTCCTTAACTAAAATTCTCCAACTTAATGGAATTTTGAATTTGTGGAATTGCACTAATTTACGATTGTTTTTATCTGAAGCCTGTCTTTTCTGGGACCATATGACCACTCGTAAAATCTTTATGGACAGACTAAGAATCAATAATTAATTAATCGAACATAAGATTAGGCGAGACAGCACAAAGATTAGATTAACTAAATTTATAATTAAAGATAATGACACAACAAATTAAATTAGTACGAAATTATTCTCATATTTATTATTAATTTATTGTTGTTCATTTTTTTCCCCCTTCCATTTCAGTGGCAATTTGGCAAAGTTGTTCTACGCACGCCAACCAAACCTATCTCTCTCCCTACTTACACAAACTCTCACAAACCCTTTCTATCTCCCATCTCCACACCGCACCGAAGCTGCTCTTCTTCTTCTTCTTCTCCCCGTCCAATTTCCCGATCGCCGGAGCAATTCTCCTCCTTCGTTTCTCCGATCAGGTACGATCGATTCCCTTCTTCCTCTTTATCTCTCTCGACTCCTATTCACATATCTCTCTGACTCGGAGCAGTTATGGTGTCTGTCATCGTCTCTGGGGGTGTATTTGATCACTTTCCTGCTCCTCCCTTCTTCTCTCTCTGTCTGTGTTTGACCCGTGCTTATTTGATCGCTCTGTTTGCTTTTCTCAGCTCCATGAATTTATGCTTACTGTTGATGTGATTTTGATTTCCCCCCTATGGACTATGGTCGCTTTTTCTCCGTGGTTATGGTTTGTTTTTTTTTCGGGCGGTGATGGAAGTGGTTGATTGGCCAGCTCGTGATTCGTCTTGGGGTTTATTGATCGATAATGAATTCGACTGTCCTTTTCTTCCCGTTTGAATTCTGCGTTGATATTCCTCGTTTCTTTCATTTGAGCATATTCTGGTTGCTGATGTTAATATGGTTGTTATTGTTTGGCAGCGGCAGGTTAGCCGGCATGTGACTTGAGGCAGAAGAAGAGCTAGCTTGGACATGGTTTTGGATGGGAAGTGGAGATAATTAGGGGGAGAGGACGACGACAATTAACTATATTATGGGAGGCTGCTGCTGCTGTTCCTCCAAGGGAGCTGAACTTAATTCCACTCCCGCCTACTACTATGTCAGTAGCCCCCAAGGAATTCTGTTTCGTTCGGTATTGAGATCGAATTCGGGTGCTCTTGGATGTGTTTCTTTTTGTCTAGTGTTGATGCCACGGAACTAGTGTTTTGTTGAATTGAGGTTAACAGAAATGCTAAAGGGCTAGTTTTTTTGTGCTGCTTCTGTATTAGAATTTCGCTTGGGAATTGGGATGAGATACCCAATTGGTACTATCCTGGAATGCAACATGAGATGGTGTACGAATTAGGATTAACATGAGTTAGGCGAAGTTGATATTTGCTTTTGTTGCTATTTCATTCTCTCACGCAGTCATCTAATGTGGATGGCTCGTTGTATATTTCGTTCTTAGGATGGAGAAGGATTCAGTTGTCTGGTTCTTACTTTTTGCTGCAGTTGTATGCTTATTATTATTCCTCCTGTTGGTTATATGCAGTATCCTAGAGCAGCAGAAGAGCGTATCCCGTTATCAGCTCACCATGTTGCTGCCTCTACTTTCTCTTCTGGGCTCCTGGTTGATACCAACCTAGACACTTCCGTTCCTGATGCTTATAGGGCCCCTCCAACACCCATGCCATTTGATGTTGTTATAGGGCGCCCACAAACTCCACCGGAAGCTCAAGAAACTTGTAGCGATAATAGGAGTGATGGAACTCTCCAAACTGCAAATTCTGGTACTGCTCAAGAAACACCCGGTGCTGGTACTCAAGATGCATCGGTGAAGTGTGAAGATGCCAAGGATTCAGATAAAAAAAAAGCAGGCTTAGAGATTGATCCAGTGGAGGAGTTAGAGGTAGAGATCACCAAGCCAGTTGGGCCTTTTGTTCCACCTACAGAGGAGGAGGATTGTTGTCCCACATGTCTCGAAGGTAATTCCCGTCATATTATAGATTGGTTCAGTTTCTTTTGATGCTTTGTCTTCCTTAGTCATCCTTTTTTTCCCCGGCCTCCCATGCAGAGTACGATGATGAAAACCCGAGAATCATCACCAAATGTGAACATCATTTTCACTTGGCGTGCATTTTCGAATGGATGGAAAGAAGTGACACATGCCCCGTTTGTGACAAGGTTCGTAATCTCATTAAATGTCAGTCAGTTAATTACTAATAGCATATTGATAATGACAAATTGAGTCTTGTTTTGCAAATAATGCAGGAAATGATCTTCGATCCTCCTATTGATTAGCACAGCTGTACAGAATACCTGGATAAAAGGCCCAACAAGTTAGCTGTTTTCACCTGAGTTTGAGAATACAAGTGTTGCAAATGCATAGAAGTCTGGTTTCTCTTCTGTTTGTGTCATTGTCCTGTGATTGCGGCAGAATATCAGGCTGTGGCTGTTTCTTTGTTTTCTCTTTTCTTTTGCTCTGTGATCGTTCTTAGCTCTTGTTGTTTGAGCACTGTATTCTCTTTCTCAGACAATGATGCAGTTTGAATAGACGCTAGGAAGGTTTGATTGGTTGAGGGGGAAAAGAAAGGAGAAAAAGAGGGAAACAGGATAAGCTGAAGAGTCTGGTCGTTGCTTCAACGTGTGAAGACGGTGACTCTAGTTCACAATTTGGTTTATAGAATCATCTCATAAGGATAGAATGTTGAATGTCTTCAGCTTTTGCATCGGTTCGGGTACTTTGGTTGATAGTCAGTCACATTGCTTTTCCAAATGATTTCCTGCTATGTTCTTTGTTCCCTCGGTTATGTCCCGGTCTGTAGTGCAGACTGCAGATCTTTCTTTGGCATTCAGATAAAACTAGTAGTCAGCAATTGCTTCTTTAGAGAAACAATATCAGAGAGACAATTTGGGGGGTTCGGTTCTGTAGAAGGGTACAGATTGTGCAATTTGGAGGTATAGTGTGTTCTTTTGTATTCTCTTTTCATTTCTCTGTAAATGATACGCATCTGGTGTTCGGGATTTCAGTATACAGGATTACAGGTAGCTCTCTGCCCGTCATTATAGGCTTGATTCGTCTTTGGTTGAAATTTGGCCTTGTTTTACATTTGGTTACTGTGTAAATTGAATTCATACGACCCCTTAAGAGTTAAGACATTATTATCATTTTGTCCTGGTGTTATCTGCTGACTAACTGGAAATCTACCACATTCCACAATCATCAGAGGCTTTCCTATTCACTAGTGTTGTCTGCAGGTCTGGTTATATATGTATTTATAGATCATCAAAGTGATATAACCAATGTAGAAAGCAAGAGAATATATTGTTCTGGAAAAGCTATTTCTGAATTTGTGGCCTCCATACTAGAACGGAGGGTGGACGCCTCAATTCTACCTTAAATTGTACATTAGATTTGTTGGGCAAAATGGTGTCCGAGACAACCTTGTAGAAAACGTGGTAAGCACGAATAAAAGTTTGGTGAAAGTGGTAACTGAGTATTTGACAAATACATTCCAAACTTAAGTGCAGCACGTAAACCCCTTTGAAGCATATCTGCTTTGGGTTTCGATTTGGTTTCGGGTTTGATTTTCAAAGGATTATGTGTTCTGATTTTCTAGTACTTGGGGTTTCAATTCGGTTACCTGGACCTGGTCCGAAGTGACAACCCCTAATGTGAAAGGTTCTTCAAGTAGTCGTTTAGATTTGATTTTGGGTACAATTATGAAGACGACTTTAAGATAACCATATATAAAACTTGGTTTCTAAGGGTACAATCTTGACAAAAAGTATTGAGATGCACAAAAAGAGCTGAAAGACTTGTTCCTAGGCATCCATCCAAGCAACTCCCTAAGAGCAAAAGATGACTTCAAATTCAGGAACGCAACTGCTCTAGCATTACGTTTTATCTTTCTTTATTATACTTGACATGAATATTTCTTATTAGGGATGCCGGGAATCTAATTACACAGTGAGTTTAGAAGCTATTGTTTTTGTGTAATAAAAACATATGTTGGACATGGAAAGTATATAACTACGAGATCTCTAAAATCGTGAGCATTCGCTTGTGCCTTAAATTTTGTTTTATAAAGAAGGTATAGTTCGATTGCATTGATTTAATTGGCTTTAATGAAAATTTTGATTCCTTATATTATTTAAATTTCAACAAACATTAACCTAATCTACAACTTGTTGCAATGAAGTCTTTATTGTGTTTATCCATCTTTAGTTCACCCATTAAAATTTTCATACACAAATGACAAAAAACTGTGGTTGGATCAACTCTAATAAGCACGTCCATCATGAGCAAGTGAATTCAGTCATACGAGAGCAAAACCAACTACTCAATTTCATTATGTTTTCTTGTACAGTCATCAAAATCGTGATTTCTTTGTTATGTTGATGACTTGATATCCATTAACGATTGCGGTCTTTGGTTGAGGATGTGTCAACAAGAAATACAATAACTTATGCAATAGTTAGTTATAGATGAAAGAATAAATCGTAATATCTCCAATTTTAATTTTGTAATAAATCCTCTTCTTCCACCTTTTTGCAAAACCCTAAATACATGTTTTGCAATTAACTCTTCATGTCATTGCAACACTCTTTAACCAATTTTACCTCTGGACAAGCAACTCTATCTCCTATTCTAGTGAAATCGTTCTCTTCTGTTGATGAATTTTTTCGGGAGTAAGATAAGAGTTGCAGCACCCATACTTTTCTTCAACAAACTAAAAGTTAGCAACATATGATTTAAAATCTACTAGTTTTTTTCATGTCAAGTTCATATTCTCTCGCAAAGCGAGGTCACAAGTATTAGAAACGATATTTACCATAGCCCTCCAACACGGTAATCATGGATACAATATTGATAGCAAAATCTAATGTCATTAATTGATATCGAAGTGGGATAACGAGTACTAGAAATGACATCCGCCACAACCCTTCAACACGGTAATGATCGATACAAGTTTTATAGTAGAATTTAATGTCGTTTATATAATTGTCCCACTGAAATAACATCGAATTATGTGGAAATAGAAAAAAGGAAGAGTATTTAAACTCATGAATTCCTAATTTTATTCTATTAACATTTATTCTAAGAATGGAAATCATTTCACAATTTGACCCCATTGGATATTTCCAACATGCTATTGAAGGTGAGGAAATTAATTATCGGATATGAAATTTAGATTTTTTGCCAAAACAAGTCTAGTAAATTCTTGAAGGGTCATGAATTCTTATTTCTTTTTTCTTCTTCCATTTTTGGTGAATTGCCAGTTATTACTTTACTCATAGGGTTCTACTTCTATGCTTACACATATATATGCTAATGCACCCTTACAATCATAATCATATTGAGTTATAATATACAACCTTTGGATTATTCATCTTGAGTTCAACAAACCATTTGGAAAAACAAAAAATTCCCTTAACTTGTAAGTCTCTTTCTCTTTCTCTTTAGTTTGTTTGTATCTGCACCTTCACACCTTGCAATTAGATTTAGATCTCACATTTTACTGTCTTAAGCTTAATAAATCATCTCTGCTGTTACCCACTAATCCATTCAAATTTGTCTGCCATAATATTTTTCTTACTCTTTCTTCTTACAAAGTAAACAAAGTATCAAAGGGTGGTAAAATAAAAGTTTAAACCTTTTGCCCTCTGCATTTATCTCTGCTCTTCTCCAACTGTTCATTTTCTCAATCCTTTCTTCCCTCCTTCTTTCTCGTCTCGGGACTTGGAACTATTTGTTCTTTCATAAAAATTTACATTTGGCGGCTGGGGTTTGTAGATTGCGAAATTGCACCTCCATCATCTTGAATCTAAAATTATGATTTAATCGTTTCATACAGTTAAAATCCATCTATCAATTTAGTCTTACGGTCAAACCGCTTATTCGATAGAAAGCTTTATGATCACGCCACCGATACAAAATATGATTTGACAAGCACACGGCAAACTAAAAAAAATGAGTGAATGAGATATCATCTTGCTAACCCATCCATGGGGGTTTTAGGTTGCCCTAGTATAACTGATGAATTCACTCGCTTTTGGTTTCAGGAATCACAGTTTGTGTCCTTGTTTGTATCAATTTGACGAAACGACCGTCAAAAGACCAGAGCTTTTCCCCTTTCTGAACCCAAAACCTGAAACTTTGTTTGCTTTGTTTCTCTTGCTCTGCTTTTGCGTTGAATTGGAACAACTAGAACATTGATTTTGGACTTGGGTTTCTGGAGAAAGGGAGAAAGTTCAGGTCTTTAGATGGCAGGGTGGTCGATGTTTGCAAATGGCCCTTGTTTGGGGAGTGCTGATGTTAATCATAAGCAGAAGACAATTACCAAACATGTCGCGAACGACATCGTTGTTACTGGCAATAACCCTAACGACGATGATGTTGTGAAACTGAGGAAACTGTTTGATGAGGCTTTTTCAGTTTTCTATGATTTGGGTTATAACAATGGGGAGTCCTTGAAGCCGGTCCAAGGGTTGCTTGGCGACGGCCAATCTATTGATCTGTTCAAGCTTTTCTATGTGGTTGGAAACAGAGGAGGGTTTGATTTGGTGAACGGATGGTGGCAGTTTGTGATGGAAGAACTAAGGATGGATCCCAAGTATTCGGGCTGCATTAAGTTGGTTTATTTCAAGTACTTGTACAACTTGGAAAAATGGCTGACTCAGAGCTATAGTTACTGTGAGCAAGGCAATTTCTCTGTTGATTTGGAGACCAAGTTCAGGAGCGTTTTGGCGTACGAGAATGGTAAAAAGAATGGTAGATTTGCCTCACTAGAACTCAAGAAAAGTGGCGGCGAGGATGATGACGATGATGAAGATGTTAGTGGCGATTACAAGAGTTATGTTGACGGCGATGCTTATTACCTTGCTCAGAAAGAATCACGCAAGAGGAAACGCGTTTCGTTGTCTGAAATGCTTAGCTGGATGGCTCGGGCTGCAGCATGTCCTGACGCAGTCATCTCCAAGTCAAACCATACTGTGAAAGACAATGACTTGAAGGCCATGGCTGTCAAAGCAAGAGATTTTCTGTTGAGGAGAAGGCCTGTTGATTCGAATGTTGTTCAGAGTTGTTCAAAGGTGCATTTCTCTATGATACTTTAATATTTTCTTACCATCTTCAGTAAATATAATATGTCATATGCTCACTTGTATCAGAAGGCCTATTGACTTATTTTTGTCTGGCGTTTGATTGTATTTGGTGCATCATGATGTTGATTGAAGTGGTGCACAAAAGTCTTCTGCAAATTCTTTACTTAGCTTAGAGGGTCAAGTGCTTGTTTTGGGTCATTTACGAGGTCCTGCATGCCGGTGATGATTTTACGTGGATTTTAAACTAACTCTTTTTATTTGGATCGATTCATTGTTATATTTCCAAAACTTTTATAGCGGTCTCGTTCGAAATTTATTTCGAGAACATGCATTTACGTATACTTAACCTTTATTCCTTTTGTGACAATCCCTTTCGAGGAGAAGTAGTTCACTTTATGTTTCCTTACTCTTGGATTTTCCTGACTCTTTTTTTCTTCTTCTTCTCTATTAGACATTTTGAACAAGTTATGCAATGACTAACTATATCACCCAAAGCATATGAAGTTTTCAAGAGCATCTTTTTATCTTGTTGAATTGTTCCGACTAGTGCTATTTGCTCTTTCTAAATCTTGTTCCTTAAACATGCAGAACCAGCAAAAGATGCATCCATCCATGTATGACGATATCAAGGTCGACCAAGCTGTGGAGAAGCCAAGATGCAGAGGAAGACCACCTAAATCAAGCAAGTCATCATTTTCTCATGTTACTACATTCACAATAAAAAAAGTGTTGATTATGCCAAACTTTCAAGACTAACTATGTCGATTCTGCTCCTATTACAGAAGCAATTGTCCCGATTCCAGTTCGTGTGGGTGCTCGATTCCAGGCTAAAGTTCCTAAATGGACAGGGGAAGTATACGAGAGTGACAGCAAGTGGCTAGGAACAACAATATGGCCTGTGAAAGATGCAAACTCTGTCACTGAAGCTCAAAAGAATCTAGCTGGTAAAGGAAGGCCTGATTCCTGTAGTTGCCTGGTTCCAAACTCTGTTGGATGTGTTCGATTTCACATTGCAGAGAGAAGGATGGAACTGAAGCGGGAATTAGGCCCGGCATTTTTCAAGGGTGGATTCAACCACATGGGAGAAGAAGTGTCCCTCAGTTGGACTGCAGAAGAAGAACAGAGATTCAAGGATATGGTGAGAGATAACCCTCCATCTCAGGAAAAGTGTTTCTGGGATTATGCTCATAGGTATTTTCCTCAGAAGACGAAGCAAGAGTTGGTCAGCTATTACTTCAATGTCTTCCAGGTTCGGAGGAGGAGTTACCAGAATCGTGTGACCCCCAAAGAGATTGATAGTGATGATGATGAAAAACAGTTTGGATCTTTCACTGATGGTTTTGGGCACGATGCGATCGATGTTGATGCTAGAGATGTATGTTTAGTGAATCGGGCACGAAATGAGTACCCCCTAGACATGAAGATCATTCACTGATGGTTTTGGGTACGATGCGATCGACGTTGATGATAGAGAGTTGTATGTTTAGTGGATCGAGCGCGGAATGAGTACCCCTAGATATGAAGATTATTTTCAATAACACAATACAATGTGACTGGAAAGTTGGAAACACATGTTTTTAGTTAGAGACATCATTGTTCGTTTGAATTTCATCATGACAGCGTTTGAAACTTCAACATGGTTTACTTACAAGGCATCCTGGCGAGAATGGGACCGAGAGGGGAGTACTTTTGTTTCAATCTTCTTTCTTAATCAAACTGTGGTTTGACTATGCAAAATAAGGTGTCGTTTGCTTCATGTATTTGAAAATGAAGATTTTCTAATTTAAAAATTCAAGGATGAATTGAAGTACTATATAAACGAATTTATCTAAGAAATGATATGGGAAAGTGTGTGCAAGGTGTTTAGACTAGGTCAAAAGTTCAACTAATTAAATCTAGTTATCGCTATACAATCAACTCTAACTTAGATGATTAGATATGAAAAGCTCAGCGATGACTAAAAGTAAGACTTTTATGCAACCATTTACCAATATAAAAAATTATATATGGGAGTGAGCAAACTAAAAAAAAGGTTGAAGAATCAAATTCATCTTCTTGTATCTTTCCCACCGTAATTTCTGAATTCAGTTTTTACTGCACCGAAAGGGGGAAGAAAGTAAAAGAAGGGCGTCTAGAGGTTAGGGTGTGCCGTGTGGTTCTAAATGCCTTCCAGTCTAGGCTATATAACTCCTCCTCCGTTTCTCTCTCAGCATATCATAACATATTTGTTTAATTTTGCCGAAAGCTATCTCCTTTCCTTTTCGTCATTTCTTCACCGCCCCTACCTCTTCGGAAACAGCAAAAATAACTTGCAAACCCAGAAGCAAGCAACCCTTTGAACAAGCGCAGCCAAAAAGAAAGAAGCAAACATGTCTTCCCCAAGCAAACGCCGTGAGATGGATTTGATGAAACTGTATGATAACTTCTTCAAAGCTATCTCTTTGATTAAGGAACTGCTCTTTTGTCAATTGGGTTGCGCCCAAGTTTCGTTTCTAATTTTCTTTTCTCTGGTTTTTATATGGGAAAATTAGGATGATGAGTGATTACAAGGTGGAGATGATCAATGATGGCATGCAAGAGTTCTATGTGGAGTTCCATGGACCGAAAGACAGTACAATCTTGACTACCCTCTTTATCTTTTCCCCCCTATTCACTGCTGTTTTGATCTATATGCTTGTTAATTTGTCCCGAGGCGGTGATTTTTCTGGGTTCTTTTACCTCTTCCGGTAGTTGATTGATTTGGCCGCTGTGTTGACCTTATTTAAGTGGGTTTTGGTGATAGATTCGTCCTAGGAGGTTGCTATAGATGACCAACTTGCTATTCTCCTTTAGCTTTAGCTAGTCATTTTTCAGCTCTTTTCTCCATCTGGGTCACCTGTTATTCATCATTTTGATCAATAATGGCAATAGGGTAGTTGCCATTTTTTGATGTAGCATAAGAAGGTGCTGATGTTGTCGTGGATTTAGTCCATTTCTTGAGTTCTTGTTCGAGGTGCAGCTTAGTTTGATGATTTTCCTCATCGAAAACTAGTTCATGTTGGGGATTCTTTACTGGTTAGAGAAGGTGGGTTCTTTTTGTTTGTTCAGTTTTTGTAATGTTTGCTTTTTGGAATGTGGTAGGTCCCTACCAAGGAGGGGTGTGGAAGATAAGAGTGGAATTACCAGATGCTTATCCTTATAAGTCTCCGTCTATTGGATTCATTAACAAGATCTACCACCCAAACGTGGATGAAATGTGAGCTAGCCTACCATATATTAGGATTTGAATCAGAACTTGAATGCTTTCTTATTGGTGCTACTGTATAAACAGACTGGTCCTGACTTCTGACCATAGAGTTGCTGGTTCTTGTGTCTCAGGTCTGGTTCAGTTTGCTTGGATGTTATCAATCAAACTTGGAGCCCTATGTTCGGTATGCATTTTTTGTAGACTTGTCTGTGATGGTTCACTATTGAACTACAATCAGTCGTTTGCTTTCAGAGCTGGAATTTTGTTTGACCTGCCACTTGCTTCAAATTCCCTTCCAGATCTGGTGAATGTATTCGAAGTGTTTCTCCCTCAGCTTCTTTTGTATCCCAATCCCTCAGATCCTTTGAATGGAGAAGCTGCTGCGCTAATGATGCGTGATCGCTCTACCTATGATCTCAGAGTGAAAGGTAGCCTGTCTGTGACCGATATTAAGTTTGTCTGAATGCCTTGCCGTTAAGTTTATCTGAATGCCTTGCCGTCTGATCCTGTGGTTGATGTTTGGTTAAATGCTTTCAAATTTCATGTTCTTATGCAACATGTGCTGATAACAACATAAAGTTGCAAACGTTCGAGGCACGAGAGTGAAAATATAGCAAAACACCTTTCTTCCTTCGCTTTTAGAGGCTCTGTGTTGTCTTAACTAGGGACCCTAGTTGTCCAGTCGATTTCTCAGTCTTTAGATTCTGAAATCGGTCTTCCTGTACCTGTTTGTGCTGTTGCAGCATCTTCTCTCGTTCAGCATCTCTTGTGTCAACCTGATTTTTGTATTTCCAATTGATGTATCCATGACATCCGCTCACATCCATCATGATTGCTGCTACCTTCTGCAGTAGGTAATGGAGCACAGCCATTGGTACTGCATGTGTGAGCAAGTAGTATTGAATGGGTTAATATATTCTTGGTCATAATGTGAGTCTTGAAATCTGCCCTTTGGCTTCCAACAATAATCTTCAAGTGTCCTACCTTATGGATGGAATCTGATAATTTCAATGGTAATCTGGAACTCTTTCCATTAAAATAGATATACTGCTGAGGAAATAGCATAGTATCCCATTGTCTCTTTGCGTCTTGATTGCGATGCGAGTAGACTGCGTGGAAGTTCAATGGTGTTGCTAATTCTCTGCATTCTGTTCTAGTAATAATGGTTGTTTGAAACATGTAAGGGAGAGAACCAAAACATGAGAACCATAATCTTCATTGGTTGAATCAATTTAAGTGTGTCTCTTGTCACTCTTACTGAAAGTCTGTTGCATCACAAATAGCACATTCGTCATCTGCAATTCTTTGCAACCTCCTGAACTTTTGCTAATCCAATTGCCTTGCAACAGAGTATTGTGAAAAGTATGCAAAGCCGGAGGATGCCGGGGCAAAACCAGAAGAGAAATCGTCAAGCGACGAGGAGCTGAGTGAAGATGAGTATGCATCCGAAGATGAGCAAGTTGCAGGGAAAGCTGATCCTTGATTGCCTACTTGTAGCCTGGTACCCTGCTCTTTACTAATTGTCTGTAATCCTGTACATGATAGCTTTCATCGTTCTTCGAAGATGGAAACGAAATCCCAAAGAAAAGATACGGAGAACAGAAATGCTGAAGGGGGTGAAGGGGAAAATTTTCCTTACCCCTGACAGTCATGAACTTTGAACCTTTGTGTATATTGTTTCAGCAGTGGGATTGATGTTTCGGATATTCATTTATTACTCTTTGTTGGGACAATGTCTATTTGCTCTTTTGCTTTGGGGTTGGTATTCTCTGATCTCCACTCTCTTGTTTCCCAAAGAAAACAAGATGTGTGAAATCTAATTGGCCATTGATTACCAGGGTGTAGGGCTTGCCACCCAGTCTGGTTGAGTATCGATCGTAGAGGAATGGAAATCATTGCTCGACCGTTGGAAATTGTCGAGGAATGATCCATCACACTATCACATCGAAAGTCTATGACATTGTTCGTATGGGGTCTGAAAAAGAAAGGAACCATTGTTCATGTTTGAGATATAGTAGGCAACTGTCTCCCCTAGTCGATTTTCAGCAATCATTCGATCGTGATCGGCATGGTGGCTGTGGAAAACATGCTCATTACAGTGTCTTCCTGATACTCCAGGAAGGAAGATGATCCTCCTCCTCGTAATGGTGGGTAGCCAAGGAATCGTTCAGAATTCAGATGTGTGTTTGGATCTCTCCAACATAAGAGAAACTATTTCCTTTCTTGGATTGCCCTCACTCAACAGGGAAACTCAAGTACATGTTACTGATTGGAGCCTCATTGTCATTGATACCGACGGCAGGCTGAAGTGAAAGAGAGAGAGAGAGATGTCAGAAGACTTCACCTCGGCCTAATAATTGAGCAATTTGAATGCCTCTGTTAGGCAGTGTTGGAATGCAGGACTTCCAAGTTCCAACATGTGTATTTAGTATTTTCACTGTTCGTCAACAAAAAGAAGGTAAAGAATGAATATATGTGCATTCACTGCAGTTCACATTTAACACTTGTGAAGCAAGCAAGCTTGGGTCATTCTTTGGATATTCATCAAGTGGTGATGGAGAAACGCTAGCGGCGATGCGATTTGAGATTTGATCTTATGCTGATCCAAAGATTGATTAAAAAAAAAAAGACTATGTTCCATTTTGATTGCAGCCAGCCCAGGAGATATTTTATATTTAATGTGGCGAGCATACATAGCATCTGAGCCCGTATAGCTCAGTGGTAGAGCGTCAGTCTTGTAAACTGAAGGTCCGTAGTTCGATCCTGCGTGTGGGCACTTATTTTTATTTTTCTGTTCTTTTTTAATTTTCGTATATTTGCAACGTTGTACATCAACGCTTTCTCTGCAAATGTTACTGTTTCCTTTTCCCTGCCGAAACCTGATCAGAAATGGCTCCATCTCCATCCCAAAAATTCCTCGGCAACAATCTCTGCATAATTCAATTCCAGACCAGAATGGCGTATAACAAATAATTATGGTTGATTACAAATGGTGTGGCGGAACTGGAACTGGAATGGAACGAACGAACCCTACTGCCTTCTCTGCAAACCTTATTCAGTATACTTTCTATACTTCCCCTCTACTCGTAACCAAAAAACCAAAAAAAAAGTGGTTCTAATTCATCACAACCGAAAAACACCCTCCGGCCGCCGTCGCCGTCTACGGCGGAGAAGAAGCAGCATTATTATTATTACCACCGGCCGTCGTCTGAACTTTCGCAATCAACCTCCCGAGCTTACTCAGCGTCTCCCTCGCCGCAACCGTATCAGGATGATTCTCCCCACAAATGGAAGCCCTAATGAAGATCGCCTTCTTGATCAAATCATCCCCAACATCGAAAACCCCTCCTCTCAGCATCAGCTTCGCCCTCGTCTCCAGCACCGTCGCCCTCGTCAGCGCCAGCTCCTGCCACAGGTACGGGTTCAACTGCGCGCCGGTCTGAATCGGCCGCCAGCACAGCGACTTCTCCAGCCACTTCTCCACCGGGGTCACGAACGCCTGGTCGGCCTCCTCCAGCGCGTCCGTGCACAGCCGGAGCAGCTCCACGCCGGCCTTGCATCTCGACAATGTGATGAACGTCCTGATCGCCAGCGGCAGGATCACTTCTTTGACCGCGTAGAGCAGCTCCGATACCTGGAGATCGACGACCCCTTTCTGCTCGTTGCCGAACCCTAATGTGAGGAAGCACGCCGCCCAAATGTGCTCCGAGTGGTGGAAGATCGAGCCGCGGTTCAGCACGGCTCGAACCATCGCCTGGGCGGTTTCTGGGGATGTTGTTGTTGTTGTAGAGGTGATTACTTTCCTGCGAGCGTAGAGCTTGATTAGGTCGTTGACGTGGATGGAATTGGGCTTGGTGCTTGCTCTGGCGATGTTGAATCTTAGGAGGAGGGACGATGCTTCCGATTCGGATCGCTTGGTGTAGGGAGAGGACAGACCGCAGCTCATTGAGCTGAGGAGCTTTCTCCAGGCCTTTTTCCGGCGATCCTTTTCAGGGATTTTGCTGGCGGCCAGGGCGAGGAGAGGGGTTGGGATCGGAGCTGGGGCGAACCAGCCGCTTGCTTGGACCATACGGTTTGCCAAGCTTCTCGGTCCGTCGACATGGTCGAAGATCGAGAAGCATACTTCGAAGAGCTGGAGGAGGAATGTGTTTCTCCTTAGTGGGTTGGATTCTCTGCTGCTGCTACTCCATGGGATGTCCCTCAATGGCATTCTGTTTATGGTGTCCAGCAGTCTGCTGGGGTTGATGGGCAGTTCGGACAGAATTGAGCCAATGATGGAGAGGCCTAGGGTTAATCTTCCGACTTTCTCCTCCATGGCTCGAAGAGCATCGACTTCTGGGATTGAGTACTCCTTGATGGTGGTGGTGGTTCCTTGCATCAGTGCCATGGCTTCGACTCCTGATAAGTAGGAGAGCTTCATTGGTTCTAAGTTCATCACTCGGGGTAAGCGGGTGGAGATTATTATGTGTGTTTCTCCACCGAACAGAGGGAGTAGATCCATGATAGGCTTCTGATCCCACCAATCTTTTTCGCTCTCCAAGTTGTCAATGATTAGTAAGAAGGGTATGTTTCTTGTGAGCTGTTTCTTGATTCTCAGAATGGCTTCCTCCTCTTGTTCTTCGAAGCTTCGTATCTTGGTTTTCTCCGAATTATGATCCAAACCAACATCAATTTCGAGAAATGACCACAGGTTTAGATAGTTCTGCCTAATGTACCTGCTTTCCCCACCAATCCAGAGCACCATTTTGTACCTCTGGTGATACCTATAGGCAAACTCAAGGAGAAGCTCTGTTTTGCCTATTCCTGGCTCACCTGAAACACAAGCAATGCCCTTTCCATACAGAGGCTTTCTCGACGATCTCCTTCTCCTTGCATAGTAACGTGGATTCTGCTTCGGCCTTATCTCAATCTCCTTCTCTGATTCCTTCCATAATATGGGCTCTTTGAACTTATTATTATCACCACTTACACTTTCCAATTTCCATCCAAGATTCATACTTTTCTTCCTTCTGTGCCTTGCCTTGAGCTCGAAGTAATCTCTTTCAGTATCTCCACTGACATCACCAAACAGCATGAACTCCAACTCGGAAAGCTCTCTTTTCCTGCCAACAAAGTTGTCGCTTCGAGGAAAGGGGAACTCTTCTTTGTCTGCTTTCTCTCTCCACTTTGTCACTCTATCCACAACACTTCTCCTTCCTAACTGCATTCCCAGAAGTGTCACAGCTCTCTGAATGCAGTCTCTCCAGTTTCCTTCCTGAGCCTCTAGCTTCCACTCGTCAACCCGGGACAAGCTATTCACAGCTTCCTTCCATTCTTTCTCGACCCCACCATAATGTTCCCAAAGCTCGCCTCCATGTTTCTCCCACAAATCACCACTCTTCTCAACAATGTCCCTCACAAGGCAATCTCCTGGTCTCAAGTCGAAAAAAACCGGGACTAAGTTCCTCTTGTCAGCAAAGAATCGAAGCTCTTCAATGGTGTATGGATTTCTGAAGCATTTTCTAGTTAAGACAACAATGCCAAAAGATGAAACATCCATTGCCTTCTCTGCCAGTCCACTTTTCCTAGAGTTTCTACACCGAGCTCGGTCAGATACAAAGCAGCTCACTCCTTGAGCTTCTAGCTCAGTTCGCAGCCAGTTGGTGAATCTCAGCAGAGAAGGCTTTCTGCCATGGAAGCCTATGAAGACATCACAACTCCTAAGTCTGTTTGAGCAAAGCGATACAGAAACCGGTGTTGCAGCATATGCTGTTCTGTAACCTCGGCCATGCTTACTCCTGTGCTTCTCTCTCAACTGCGAATAGCTGTTGTTGCCAGACGGGCTGCTGTTGGATATCCCGGTGGTTGAGGATGTTATCCTGTCAAAGTTCTGGAAATCAGCCGCAGCAATCCCACCTGGGTCCCTCGAGAGTTGTGACAATGTATCTCTAATGTTGGTCAAAGATTCAGGATCCTGGAGCCCAGATGTCGAGCTTGGAGGGTCGCCGCTTAGATTATTGATGCTGTCACAGTGAGCATCAGACCGAGTTGATTCCGAGACTTGACATGTCGTTGCTGGGGATCTTGGTGAGAAGAATGGTGATTGGTTTGCTGAGAAGAATGTTGAAGATGATGAGGAAACACTCCTCAATGTTGTTGTAGCTACCGGCGGTAACAACCTGGGCTTAGAGTTGCAGATGTCTTCTCGGATGTCCATAATTTGTGTAAGGTCTTGTACTTGATAAGGAAATGGAATCCCATGAACAAGGGAACACTCCAAAAATTTTGCAGATTCTGAAATGAAAAGAAAGAGAATCTTCAACTGAGATTCTGGGTATCATTTACCAGCCATCAAAATCACTTGGCAATTTCAAACTTAGATATGAAGCATCATAATTCATAACGGTTCATTCCTAAACAAAGTTGGAAGAATCTCCAAATGTCGAGTTAATGAGAACTTACTAAAACCGTGGAAATTGGAATCGACAACCGAAAAAGGACAGAGAGGGCCCCAGAAAGAAGAACCACAGTTAACCAAACTTTCCAACAGAATGAATAAAAACCCATCAACGGAAGCATTCTGAAATGATTGGGAAAGTTCAAAAGCTTGAAACTTTAAAAGTGTAATCTAGATCTAATCAGCCATTGAAAGATGGAGAAACAAAAGACACCACATTCTGCAGAGAATTCAGATCTGAAGAAGAAACTTACTTTACTTGGCAAATCTTGAGATGGGCTTCTTTATCATCAGATTCACTGGCCGGCAAACGACCCCAATGGAGCGCGAGTACAAGTCCAATTCATTGGCCGGCAACTCAAGAGAGTGCAAAAGAAACGCAGAGTTCGAGGAAACCCAGATAACAACTTGGGGATTGCAGAGGCCACCAATCACAGTACAATGAACTTACACCCCCCAAAAAACCTGCAACCAAAAAATAGGAAAAACAGGACACAAACAACTCATTCACATTCCATAAACAAACAAGAAGCCGGATGGAAAGAAAGAACGATTGGGGTGGCTTTAAAAATGACATAAACAGAAAGCTGTTAAGGACAGGGAGAAAGAAGATTGAAAGAGAGGGAAAGGGCAAACAACAACAACAACAACAAAAACACAGCAACCCACTGTCAATCAATGGCTGTCTGAAACACCCAAAAAAATCCCTTTCAGCCGTCAAGTGAAGAGAGTGTAGTGTAAATCACTAAATTGGAGTTGGACTCTCTATACTATATAAAGATTGAAAAGGGAAAGAAATTTTGAAAGAGACCCCATTTTGAAAAAACAAGAAAGAAAGAAACTTTCATATTCAGTTACAACAAATCAAATGCCCAAAATCTGCTTACCTTTTTTTCAGCTGTAGAGGGAGTAAAGAAAGGTGAAATTTTATAGAAAAATAAAGAATAATAATAAAAACTGGTAGTTGTCCTTACAATACCCACAACCAAAAAACACTCCAACAGGCAGCCTCCCTCAAAAACAGGCACTGATTATGAAGAACAAGAAGACGAAGAAGAAAACCCACATTCAGAAAAAGGGGGAAGAGGTAAATTTCAAAAACATCCCTGGTTTTTCTTCTCTCTCTCTCTCTAGGGTTGGGGAATGAGAATTACCCAGAGCTTCCTTGTTTGAAAAGATCTTTCCTTTTGCTGGTTCTTCAGTTTTGTCAGGGGGATGAGCAATTTTGGCTGTGGGGGGAGGAACAGTAGCACCGTTGAGAGAAAGAGAAGAGAAGAGAAGGAATTGGGTCCCAAATGGATGGATCTGACCAAAGTATGGGTCGGGTTTTGTAGTAGGCTCCACTCCACACTCCATTAATAAACAAAAAAATATATGTAAAGGTCCAAAAAAAAAATTAATAAAGGAGGTCTGAGTTCTGAGAGAGACAGCCCACAGTGAGAAGTGGGGAAATAGAAAAGGCTCTCTCTTATCTTTTCTTTCACACTCGCCTCAAATACAGTCCTCGTTCTTTTACTTTTATTTGTTTTTTTAACTTTTTTTCATACATGTTCAATCGAAAAATAGGAAGATAATTTTTGTGTTCAGGTAATCCACTGAGACTTTCACATTGGTGTTCTCAGAGTTGCTGTTTGGGATTTCATTTGTTGTTTTAAGGTTTTTTTTTTCCTTTTCTTATTCCTTGAAATAATTTATGTCTATCTCATCGCTATACCAAAAATGAATTGATAAAAAATAGTGTAATTTTTTATGTAAATTATATATGTTGTTTGACATAAAACTATAACAGGAGTGTGAAATGTATCAAAAATTTAAATAATTTATCTCTAGCCTAATCAAATACCTTAATGTATTCACTTATCATTATAGAGTGAAAATCCTTCTCGTGGCAATTGTGTTTGCAGCTTATGCAGCCTTACACCTCACAATTGACATTTTACTTACATGTTTCTCACTCCTTGATGATCTCAACTTGACAACTTTTAAATAGATTAGATTGTTAGATTCGTTATTGTCAAGTAAGTTTGTACTCAAATCAAATCGATTAGATTGTTAGGTTCGTTTGTTCATGTGGAGAGCTAACTAGCTCATTGCTTGTTTCATTCTTGGGTTCATGATTTTTGTTTGTCGGTTGATGATGTTGTTGTGGTTGTGGATTGGCATTTAAGAAGAGATCTGCTTATCTCCAACATCCAACTAGCTATTGTCATTGTTATTCATTCACTTCCACACCGTTGTCTTTTGCTTTAATTTCAGACATAAATAATTTGGCACCTAAATTACAAAGGGAAGGGGACTGTTGTCATTAACTGTGTGTATCATTCGTTCGCTTGCTTTCCGTCGGCTTTATAGCTTTAGGTAAGTTTGTAAACGACAGAAAACAAAACACAACAGTTCTATTTTATGTTTAGGTCTGCTGAGAATATGGTATCTATCAGACTGGATTTTGGCGAGTGTATTATAGTGAAATATGTTGGAAAACGTTGTTATATAATTCACGGTCGAACCTTTTCTAACAACTCGAGTCATTGAAATTAATTGGTTATTGACAAGTATTAATAAGGATTGAAGTAACCTCCATATGGACCAAGATGTCATCACTTGATCTCCCTTCATCCGTATGTGTTCCTAACATTATTGCTACGCTAATCTGAATTGAATCGCAACTTTCATCATTTTAGATAGTTACTTCATATCATATTTAATTAATTGAAATTTATTCCTCATATGTGTAATTTTAACAAAAATTTATAAAGTGAAAGCTACCAACTCACAAACTTTACAAGGAAATGATTGGTTTGAAGGACAAAGGGAAAAGAAAAGAAATAGGTGAGTTATACACATTCATTAGATGGGGACTTTCTTAGCTCATATATTTTTAGCATACAGTTAGATTCCAATGATGGTGACCAGAGGCAGAGCCCCCCTTAGCTCTCCAATGATTTGTGCAGCAATTTTTACTATCACTAAAATCATCTTTAAGCTTGGCATATGACGATTACCACATTGGGAAATTCCCTTGATTTTTAAGATTGGCCAAATTTGTGATTTTGGGAGACAATTTTCCATTTAGGCTGAAACCCATAAGATACAATCTATTGCAAGGCTTGTCTTACACCCCAGATTGGGAAATTCCCTTGATATTTGCTCATATCAATCTTCCCTCTATATGGTTCCTTTCTCCTCTAGAGGATCTCCATACATAAGTTGATATGGCCTAGTCTATGAATCAATAATCTTTAGGGTCATGTTGATGTATATGTTTTAGTTTGTAATTAACCTTCCTTTAAGTTTGGTTAATTACAAATTTATTCCTTATTAGAACTTAATATCGACTATATAAATATGAAGAGTAGCCGAGTTCTATAATTAGGGTTTTTCTTGTTAGTTTCTCGAAATCTAATAATATTGACTTTGAGAGTACTCATCTCCGTGGATTAATTTTATTGATACGCGCTAAAGAAACAACGTAATTCTTGTGCGTGTTGTGTTTGTGCTTTGTTCGACAACTCAATTAGTAGGTTACATGTCTTTCCCACACACATAAAAAAAAACTAATAGGGTATATGGGTTGACATAGTGTATTCTAGTGTTCAGTTCGCACAACCTATCATTGTAAGGGAAATTCATTAATGGTAATTGACAATGCTATAAATCTGAATCACCTATACCCTCATCGTATTTGTTAGTAAACGGTATATGATTCACGATTAAACCTCTCCCAACAGCTCGACGACCCCCATTTGTTTATGTTTATGTTAAGCACATGGTGTCCGGACCTGTGACTGTGCAAACTCCAAGCATGCCTAAGTGGCTTGAGTTTGAGAGGATGTGTTAGTAAACGGTATATGATTCATGATTAAACATCTCCCAACAACTCGAGTTATTGGTACTCGCTGGTTCTTCACAGTATTGGCAATCTAAATATGATATCGTGAGATGAATTGTCTAGTCATAACATTCAATAACCAGGAAGTACATCTTATATAGTTGACATCTTCAGCCTTCTCAATTCCCATCGTTTCTTAAGTCTTGACACAAAGAAAGGAAGGACTGCTAAGTTGACTTAAGTCGTCATAGGCAGCAGTAGTTTTTGGCTTCCCACTTCAGGAACGAACGTCAGTCCAAAACACTCTTTTGCTGATACTAATTGATTGGAGGCACATGCAATCATGTGAAGCCGGCAGCAAAAAGACGGCCAGGATCTTCCCTCTCCACCCACCTCCCAATCCCATCAACGGCCTGGATACCAACACTTGGAATCACCACAGTGAAAGGCTCCTAAAAGATTGAGAGATATCATATGGGTTTAGACTTTAGACTTGAGAGTAGTTTGCAGTTTGGAATCGATTTTCTACAGCTAACCCTCTCTATATGCAGAGCATCACTTGCCCCCACAAATGGTGGACAAAACCCTTCTCTTTTTTCTCTTCTCCTTCACACACACACTCTCTCTCTCTCTCTACAAGACTACAACCCTATATTCAATTTAATTTCTTTTTTTTCTATTTATCAAAAGAATATATAATATTAAGTTCCTTACATGGTGGTTGCTCAAGAAAAAAAGAAAAAGAAATAGTGGACCATAGAATAGGGGTGGAAGGTGTCATGATCTTGAATGTTTTATTTTTTGCTTGTTTGAACTATCAATTCAATTCCCATACACATTGATTGGTACTTGTCTACTTTTGAGCAACACAACTAACCAACTAAGACACTAAAGAGACCACCATCACATATCAATCCAATATATACCCTCC